AATAAATAAATAAATAAATAAATAAATAAACCTTTAGGGAGATAGGTGAGTTTGCAGTGAAAAAAAAACACACACACAACCCAGCGTGTCACATAGAGGGCTAGAATTTGTCTTCATTCAGGTTATTTTTTATTATTTATGGACATTATTTTCCACTTTTTTCCTATTAGTGGATTTTGTGCATTGTTGCAAATCGCATCCTCCTCCACAGGTGAGTATAAATGATTTTGTTGATTATGTTAGTTACATTGTTCACTGTAATGTAAAAACAGACTCTCCTAATTTCAGGAAGAAGATGGAGAACTAGAAGGAAGCGTGAGTTGAACAGCATAATTTTTTCTCTGTATTTATCGAAATTTCAGAAGATATGGAAAGTTTACTTACCATTAGCAGAGTGGGTGCAAATCATTACCTGTCCAGTTCTATTTTAAGCTCAGGCTTACTGTCAGGGGAGCCCGAGCTCTGTCAATTCAATTTTTCCAAGAGCACAGCTTTCAGAACGTTCTTGCTTGGCTCCTAGACCAGCTGACCGGCAACTTCATTTCTGGTCATCTGTTTTTTATTAACCATGTTTATTGTGTTTATGTGCATGCATACACATATACATATATATATGCATGCACACAAATATGCACACCTATGCATTATGCACACAAGACATACAGTGCGTCTCCAAATGATACAACCACCTCTGATTCTCCCAAAAACTCACAGTATACGATGTTCTGAAGAAGTGCCAAAGTAAAAAATGCGTCAAATCTGTTGCAATTTGCACATTATAACCAAATTCCAGCTCGGAAACACGAACATTTTTTGCTCAATTTTTCAATAAAGAGTGCTTTTCCAACGTCTCCAAATAATACAGCCACTAACAAAATTAATTTTTTTAACAACAAACTTACAACAAGGAGAGAAAGTTGCAGAGTCATTAATCAGACGGTTTACCATTTTCGAATTACTTCGAAAATACAGTGGTCTAGGTTCAAATAGAGACTATCAATCAGGTCCTAGTCAATTTGATGCCATGCTTCGATGATCGCTTTTTTCAACTCCTTGGCTCCTCGAATTGCTTGTTTCGGGCGTAGATCTTCCGCACCATGTAGCCCTATACATTTTCCATCGGATTCAAATCGGAGCTCTTCGCCGGGCCGGCCAAGGCAGAAGTGCAATCCGATGCCGAGAGAACCAAGCTTGGGTGCTCCTGCTGACGTGAATTGGGGAATTATCTTGAATTGTCCTGCACAGAAACAAGATTTCGGTGCCGATTCTGGGCCAGAAAGGGAGAACTGCACGGCACACAACAGGACGAGTTCATCTTCTTTGGTACAAAATATAAACGGATACGCATACTCGATGAAATCGCGTCCCAAAGCATGACTCCTCCTCCTTTGAAGTCCCGTCTAGAAAAATGGAGCTTTTCCTTCCTCAGGTCGTGCCAATAAAATCGGTTTCCGTCTGTACCATTACAATTGGTCTTCTTTTCATCGGAAAAACTACAAATAAAACCATCAAGAGAAAGATGATCAAATGTCAGCTCATGAAGAACACCTTATTTTACTTCGACTGCACCTTCTGGCGAAAAGGACCCTATTTTTTATGTCTTTTTGCATTAAAGGGCGCCTTACGCATATTCCGTTCTACGATGAACTTGGACTTCCTGATCACCTTCGAAACCGTGTTTTTTGAGACATTGAGGTTCAGAGACGATCGAATTTCCATGCAATACTTGGTGGAGTTTGACGCTTCCTTCGAAATACGGCGCTTGTCTCTGTTGGACAGGAGCGAAGGCATTCAGCGCTCCTTCTGGTTCCATATACTTCAGGATTCTTGATGAAATTATCTACAACTGCTTTCGACGTCGATCGATCAGTCCCTGCTTTTTCCCCGCTCCTTTGCTCCGCGTAAATTTGACCTTTCTCGAATTCCGAAAGCGACTTTCCTCGTCCCATTGCCTGGAAATGAAAAACATTACATAAACAACGCCATTGGCTGCTTTCATAGTCCG